CTAAAAAAGTCCCAAATAAAACAAAACTTTTAACGTTTTACGCTCGTCGTCGACTTCTCCCAAGTGTCCTTTGCGCGCCTAGTGCATAGGTAACCCAAAACTACTTTATGTCAATCAATCGGAAATAAAAAACAAACAAACGTCATAAAGTTCCAAAACAATATCTATAGCTAGGTTAGAGTTAATGTACGCCAGTTTGTTAGCTAGACTTACACACAGGATTAAGAGCGCTTTAGAATCACAATTAGACATAGGCAGAATGACATATTGACTTAATAGTAAAACTGGACTATGTTGGATGTAGAACCGCCGAGAACGGAAACATTTCGTACTACATCAGCAAATGAGATTTTACAATTAACTGAGTAAGAGGCATCTTCGGAGCATCGACATGCACAGTATGTTATGGCTTCTATCTTTCTTCACCTTGACGCTTGAGTTTGTGCTAAAAGGCAGCATTAAGCAGATTCTAGGTAACGTCTATTGCAAGCCAGTATTAAAACGAGGTGGTGATAACCCAACGCGGAACATTAAATATTCTATCTTGGATAAGCCATAGCCTATCGAAGGGGAGATAGCTGTGAAACTCATTAGAATAGCAATATAACTCATTGTCTATGTTGTTCAACGTTTATTCATAAATGTGGCCTTCGCCGTCACGTGTGTATTGTATTTTTGCCCAACTAACCAATAGGAATGTTTTTGGAAACTCCTATCCGTGACTCGAACAATAGGGAAACTGGAAATTGCTATTGGTGGATTTGGTAAAAAATACAATACACACGTGACGGTGAACGGACCAGATTTATTAATAAACGTTGACTAACATAGATAATGAGTTATATTGTTATTCTAATGAGTTTCACAGTCATCTCTCCTTCGATAGGTTATGGATAAACAAATTCCAGCTGCCAAGTACGCTTAATTAAAATACTTTTACGGCTCCGACATTGGTTTAATGTTCCGCTAAAGACGTAATTTGTGAGTGATTTGAAACAAATTGCAATACAAACTTTGTCCGCATCTATCTAATAACATTTGCGCATTCTATATACTTGTTAAAATTAATTTTTCTTCGTATAAAAGTTTATTTGAAATTCTGGCAAATGATTTCGCTGTTTTGAAACACAAAACTCTTGTTTACATAATGCTACCAATCGCAAGCCAGTATTAATGTGAGCTGATGACCTTAGGTCATAAGACATCCAGATGATCTTGATACGCGGAAAAGTACTGGCACTAGTTGTCAAATAGAAATCCATTTTATGATTAAAACAACTGAATATCTCCTGTAATATACTTTATTTCGATTCCATATTTTTGTCAGAGCTATAGTTCTTATAGCGAAACATACTTACGAAATTTCAACTAGTTTCATAAAGAATAACGAAAGATATAATTGACTGAATACATCAAAATGGATTTCTATTCGGACAACCCTTTCTGAGCGCTGATTGGCTAAAATACGAACACGAGATCACCTGGACTATAGAGCCGGTTTCAGCTGTGCTACATGTAGATGGGTGAAATAAAAATCTTGCATGTCTTCACTATATTAGTTTGCATGTGAAATGTATCGTATTGGCGTCTTTATTGCAGTTTTTGCTAATACAGCACGTCTATATTATCATGAACAAAGCACTCAACGCTAAAAAAGACGTAAGATAAACCTGAATTCCAGCAAGAAATCTGTTTTTGAAGGTAGAAAATACTTCACTTGCATGTTGTTAGCTGTGAGTCTTCTGTCAGTGTCACATATTTATCTCCATACTTATGACAAGAAACAAATTTCAGTCTGTCAGTAAATAATTTCTATTTTTTATTATTTAATCACTATTAAGGAGGGCTAAACATACACGTTCGCTGCTCGGTTTGTTGCGCTCATTCGTTTGTTTACTGATCATTCAAAACTAGTAAATACGAACGTATAGCTACTGATCAGAGAAAAAAGGAAAGATTTTCCGCAAATGGGAAAAATAACTGATCATTTACAGGCGTGGCTGTCTTTTTCATCCTTAAATAAATAATAAACAATTCAACCTGCTGCTTCGGTTGATGACACAAACTTGGACCATGCATAATTCTTCATATCATGCTCAACCTCATTCAATTAGTTTTAAATATTCGAGATTGAAGTAAAAAATCGCTTACGTATAGTCAATAACATCGTCGAAATTGTTGATCAACAACAATGCCAGAGATTGGCGCTGCAAAAGAAAGGCGTCATATTAAATTCTTCCAGAACATTTCAACGGAGGGTTAGTCTTAGCAGCGCGCAGAAAACATTCACTTACTCAACTAAAACTCTAAGTAGCGCAATACTATAGAACGGTTGGCGATTTTACTTCCGGCATTTAAATTAACAAATTTACTAGACTATTTACTAGACGTCAAGGACAAGGGATAAAACATAATTCTCAACGGTCAATTCTATTCTTAAACAATGCATACAGAAAAGAGATTCTTCTGGATTTGAATTTTTTAGGATATCCCTTGCTGAGGCAACTTAAGTATCTGGATCTTAAAATAATTTTATTGAAATTACCCAGATTTCAGAAAGAGGGGGGGGGTATTTTCGTGACTCGTGATTAGCAATTATTCGTGTTTCGTGATTCGTGATTTAAAGAAATACCATTCCGTGAATCGTGATTAATATGCGTGCCGTGAATCGTGAAGAGCTAAAAGGCTAGCTATGGTCTTGAATTTACAAATATTTTACCCTAACTTGTGAATGTTTACGTTTAAAACTCGGCCCAAATGTAATATTATGGGGAAAAATTTATAAATTTGCTTCCCCCAGTTGTCTTAGTTCTTGAGGTTTCTTCGTTTCATCGGTAAACGTCATTATCGTATACCTTCGTACCTCTTCGTAAACTTCGTGAACCATCGTACGATGCTCGTAATGCCTCGCAATGATTTCCATTGTCCCTTAAACGGCTCTAATGTTAAAGTCAGTATGTGTTAAATGGTTTCAGACTTTGTTACGCTTCTGTGTTTCTAAAAATCGTGAAAATGAAATTTTGTTTTTCGTGACTTGTGAAATCCAAAAATGATCTTCGTGATTTCGTGACGAGACCCCCCCCTTGCCCCCCCCCCCTCCAGAAACATTCTAACTTGCTGTATGGTTGACAAATTAGTAAGATGCATTGACGCATGTCTTTAATTAAGCATGTCTGAGTGCAAGTCAGTGAATATTAGCTGGCTATGTTTCCGCTATGAGGTAGGATAACCAGCATACAATTATTTAAACGTATTCAAAAGTACACAACATATCTATCGTGATCGGTGTCGTTCGCTTAGCCCGTTTTCACAGCAGTACTCTATAATTAACATCTGATATAGCCCCTTGCCTATGAATGACTATAAGTCCTGTTCTACCAAGGTTAAACTTTCGCCCATGACTAGACCTGCAGCATATTTTAACCTCGTGAACGTCGCTAATTAACACCGGTTGTCTATAATATAGTTAGGAATATTTTGCTGGTATTAAAGCATAACAATTCACCATTAATCAGCACGCAACTATAATTTTCAGTAATTAATTATATTGGCTTTTTGGTGAATTAAATTCCTAACAAATACACACATTCACTACCAGCAAAGAGTTCTTTATATATTAACCCAAATATTTCTTGGGAAGGATATAGTCGGCGAAGAATGTTTGTTATTTCGATGTTCAAAATTCCATTTTAAATGCTTCATCTAGCTGACAAAAGATATGAAGTGCCCCCTTGATTTACCCATACACCTTACATTGGCATCACGTGCACCATCATATATACATGAACTTGCGGTTAGAGCTCAACAACTGGACTATGTAGCTCAGTTGGTCAGAGAGCTGTATTGGAATCGCAGGGCCGCTGGTTAGATTCTTGCCAGAGGGCCTATTCATGGTTGCATTTTTTTGCTGCTCCCGCATAGCTTTATGGTTGAAGTGTATTTGTGTTCGTAGTTTAGCATCCCCAATATCTTGTTGTTATTAAAAATTTTTAAGGCGGTACAGCTAGCTATATATATGGCAACTGCTCATGCTATGCTTATTTATATAAAACGTTAAGAATTGAAGCGCTTTACAGCTCGAATGGGCAAACCGAGGCTTTGATGTTTTCAAACTAAGCAAGCCCACCACGGGGTTATTTTGACAAAACATGAAGAAGAAAAAGAAGAAGTATTTATTTATCCCTTTTTGAAATCTTACATATTAACGGTTATGAACTTGTTATGAACGAATTACATGTTACGGTTATGAACTTGTAACATAGTTATGCATAGGTCTAAATAACCCGCTGCTGATTGGTTTTGGCTTAGCCTGAGCTGTAATTGGTCGAGAACCATGCGTGATCTATTAGAGGACAGACGCACGGAATGGACCTATTCCCTAATGAACAAAATTTTGATCACTGAAAAACGGCAAACTTCGCAGGGCTATATTATCCGCATTTTACAACATTTCGCAACGAAACTTTGGAATATTTCTAATTTTGTGATGCTCTTTCAAGCCGTGATAAAATGTTTGTCTAGACATGTCTAGATCAAACTTTTGTTCATTAGGTAGTAGGTCCATTACGCCGCAGCTAAATACTTAGTATAAATGCATCGGTCGAAGTTAGCTGTCAGTTGTTTGCTATTTGATGTTAACGTATTGTTCTTGGGTTCACAGTAATTGGCTAATCGCTGTTACGAATACCCTGCCGCAGTCTATTTAGTTCGTTAAATGAATAATTATTACTTTGTAATGACTGTTAATATACTATCTGGCGAAGTTAATAAATTATAGCTTGGTCTAATTAATGTATAAAATTTGCACTTGAAATTTCAATCTATAAAACCCTTCAACATACACTGTAAAAACAACCAATTGGTTGTCTCAGGTGCATTTCAGTTTGACTTATATATATTTTGTTGGGCTATTTTAACCAATTTTTCTGTATTCTGAAAATTTCAAGTGCAGAGATGGTTTAAATGCACGTCACGAAATCTTGTGGCCAACTTTAGGTTCCTCATTATGTTGTAAGTTTACCTTGACCTGAGTAGAAGCAATGATATTGATGTCATTTACGCACCATGCATATGCAGGATTTACCCACAGTAATATCAAAGATCATTCTTAATTAGGACTCAGACGCCCATACATGAATATATTCAATGCAATTAGTAGAAACCACAGTTATGAAAAGTTCATATATTACTTCGCATAAAAAATGATCAGTGTGGAATTGGAACATTTTCACATATGAAATGCATTATACGTTTCATACGTGAAACTCATAATTTTCACATATATGCATGTACAAAATTTGATTATCATATATTCTTTCACGTATGAAAGTAATTGCTGATGGGTGAAAATTAATTTCATATGTGAAATTATTATTTAATATATGTGGAATTGGAACATTTTCAAACAAAAAAGAAAAATTAGAAAATCATATGTACAATTTCTGAAAGGGTAAAGGCAGCTATAATTAGTATTATTAATTGACAGACGAATATAACTGGCAATACCTAATTAACAGAACGATACTAATAGAGGTTTAGGCAGCGCAAATAATTGAGGTTGCATGAGAAATACGTCATGCTGTTTGCCTCACCTCCGGTACTATTTGCCTCACACTTCCGGCGCAATATCAGTCATAATTATGTTAATATATATTAACACGCACAAGTTTGGAAAGTTATATTTAGTTTTCTTCTGCCTACATTAATTTGCAGTGTTCATGCAATCATGCATCTTTAACAGTCTGATATAGTGACTGTAATAAAAGCCTTTACTCTTTTCTGCATGTATCCCGCTAAAACTACATTACAATTAGTATATACAACCGATCATATAAAACGATGTTTTTAAAACTCCATTTATAACATTGTTCTATGGTAACACGCCCCACAGTAGTTGGGCAATTATAACATTCAAAACGTGGGATTAGGAAGTTTTTTTAAATAAACAAAATATATTATATACTATGGTTAATACACTCCCAAAAACATTTACAATTTTTCCTCTGTCTTGAACAACATGTATAATAATATATCGAATCTATTCAATGAAAATTCACAGTTAAATGACACACCAATAATTATCTTATATTACCAATAATTCGCACAGCGTTTAAATAGTGGTAATTTTGGTTTCTGTTTCGAACGTTCGTCATGTATTAATTCAAATATTGAATTTCAAGATGGCATTATTATTCGGAATTTGTTTCCTTTCATATTTTCTTCCTATAATAAATGAAGATTTATTATAATGAAAATTTTCCAGACCACTCGAGAATGGGTGTGGGGGCTAGAGAAATCTAAATTGTTATTTTTAGAGATTCTATTTAAGCCCTTCAAACTAATTCCGCAAGCTATCTAGTACCCGTGAAAGAAGACTTTTTCCAACGACTGACTAAAAGACGTGGCCGGTAGCATTGAAAGACGTTTGTCGCTTTCCGGCATTGACATAATCTATTTTAAATAGGTCAAACAGCAACCATATGTTGAAAAATGACAGTCTGTATATAAGACCATATAGACTACCGAAGGCGAAGATTATATTGATAAATAAAGAACTTCACTGTAAATCGTATAAATACGTATATACATATATAAATATACAGAACGGCTGAAATGTGGCTGTCAAAGAGTATAGCACTTAGGATTGAAATTGAGGTAAGCTCTCTATAACGAGAAAACATAAAGTTACTTTATAGTAAATAGTTTCATATACAATGCGCTTGGTAGAGACTGATATTGTCAGTTTACTTATCCATGTGTTGATTTGTTACTGATTGTTGCATGTAAAGCTAGTATTCAGTGTTGCATGTAAAGCTAATATGATTACTGTCGTTATTTTTTTAACTATATAAACTCCTTATCACCTAGCACTGCAGTGCATATTAGCTACTATGGGACATTTGTGTAACAGTATCGTATAAAATCTGGCCCGAAATTGTTCTTCTATGTCTATGATGTCTATTTTATATACATATATATATATATATACATATATATATATATATATATATATATATATATATATATATATATATATATATATATATATATATATATATATATATATATATATATATATACCATTGTAAGTTATATAGTATATACCTATAGCTGAAGCGGAGAGTTTCCTTAGAATTACAGCACATAATAACTTCACTAAGAACGAAACAAATTTTGCAAATATGAGATAGATTTGTAGAACATATTTCAAGGCACGTTTAAAATTGGAACCCGATTACGTTTATAACTTCGACTGCGTGTTACATTTATAATTGAATTTTCATAATCCCCTGATTTACATTGAGCAACATTCGCCCAAAATAGATTATGCTAATCTTATCTGGACCAGCATCTGCAGTAATAACAGTAATACAAGACTTCTTTGTCAACTCTGAAAGAAAGTCTGAGCGTATGCAGCTGATGCCGCCTTACTACACAGTAATTATTATAAACACGGATGAAAACATCGACGTATTAAAGCCGATATCAAAACGTTTTTGTTTCAATTGAGAACGAAGCCGACTAATGCATGCAAACACAAATGCAAATGCTAAAGGCCACACTGTTAAACAGATCAGTTTTGCATGCATCTTACCCGGCTCAAAAATATGTTTATTATACATAAAACAAAATAAAACAGATGCTATTCATTGACGGTACCTACAGTTATTATAAATAAAACAAAATAAAACAGATGCTATTCATTGACGGTACCTACAGTAGAGGACGTTGTTGATAAGACGATCGCCTGGAGGCGGAACGTTCGCCATTAAATGATAATTGGCTGTAGGAAAAAACGAAGACGAAGCTGTTGTTTATTAATATCACTAACGATGTCCATGATTTACAAACGGAAATTGAAAAATCTAAACAGATATTTGTTATCCTTACAAGCATTAATTGCGGAGATGCCTAAACTATTGGCCAGACTGCAGAATCAGTCAATGCCGCCCACGAGATTGTTAAAAGAAAATTAAAAGACAAAATTTGCATAATCTAACGCCCCCCAAATCTAATTTTCATTTAATTACGTCATTTTCTTTTAAAATCAAAGTGGTCACTTTTGTCCCCTTGACTATTTGTTGATGTGATAATGAAAACTGCTTTGCACCTGCGCTTATAGTTTGTTGCGCCTCCAAGAGCTCGAGTAAAAGAGCCCAAGTTTATCGCTTTATTTCGTATTTACATTCAACCGTCTATTCTGTCCATCAAGGATAATGCGTCGTTCACTGTTATTTAAGTTACTGCAACTGAAGTGTTACAGCTGAAGTGTTACAGTATTTACTTTTATTCATAATATAGGTACTTCATATTTTTGTATTTTTGGCTTACGCAATAATTGTGGCTGAACCGACGAAATTGTTCGAAAATTCAGACTCATCCTCAGCAAAATCTACGGACACTGGTGAACCCACAAGCACGAAACTGAAACATATTAAATCCAAAAGCTGGGAGGAGTTGCGACAACAATTACTTGAAAACAATCTATCATCAGATACATTTCAAAAAAGAACGCTTGGTAGCCTTGGAGAACGCCTGATTCAGAGAAGTAGAAGATCGGTTCTTACGCTCAAACCAACGAACTCTCGTAAAGCTCAGCTACTTTCGTGCAAGTTGCTCAATTATAACTTGGCAATAATGGATAATGGAAACGTTCTTGGTTTGAAAAATCAATCCAGTCCTTATGGTATGTATCAGGCAGAAGTTTCATATTTAGTAGCCATATACATAATGACGGAGTTTTATTTGCTTGTTAACTGCATTTCGCCTTTGATCTCGGCATTTCTTTGTTGTCTTTTCTCTTGCCCTGACTTAAATTCCGTATAGTACTTTAAGTATATGCATGCATGGGTCGGATGTACAAATCCATGCATCACTGGAACCCTAACACCTTAAACTATCGCGATACCTGCATGCATGACCGTTACAATGTATGTATAGAACGTAAAATATATAGAGGAAACATTCTCTCCTCTCCATTTTTATAGTATTGTTGGACCTAGAAAGGTATGATGGTAGTTTGGCAACGATACAGCATCCAACGAGCAAAAGATATATTGGAATGGATAGCAATGGAACTGTTTATTCAACGGTAGGTACAAGATAGCATAAGATTACATATTTTTAATTTGTGATAATAATGACTCTCCTATTATTTCCTATAACGTGCATGCTTGTGCAGGTGGATGTGTCCTCGTGATTGTTCACATTATTTCCACATATAGGCAGAGCCCCTCCCCCAAGCGGAATATCACCAAATATTAAGAGCAATTGCGTTGGATCTAATTCTAGGAATTACTCAAATATGTAGCATAATTTATTAGAATAAAATATATAAAATTATATATAAATAAATAAAATAACATATAAAAATATATAAAAAATGTTTTTCTTCCTTTTATTTAGACAACCTTTGGCGACGAAGTCCTCTTTAACTATTTGACAGGAAATTATCCATATATTCAGTTTTCATCGTATAAATATAAACATAACGGCAAAGACATGCTGATCGGTCTACGAGCTGATGGACAAACAAAAAAAGGCAGAAAGGTTTCAGTGACTCACAAAAGTTCACAATTTTTAATGGTGGCCACTATATAGTCTTACACGATGTGGTTAACTTAATGATGCAGTGTATAGATTATTAAATATTCCGTCGTTTGCATCTAAACACGAACACTTTGCAAAAACATCGTCTTTGCTCACGTAAAACGTTCACCAACTATCTTCATGTTGACTGGCTGTCCTTCATATGAAGACAATGTTTTATCTGCGACAAGTAGTAATCTTTAGATGCAAACAACGGTACCATGCATGTGTTGTGTTAAAACACAATCATATTATGCATCTTCGCGAATGGCTGCATAATGAACTCAAAAACCGGCTCTAGCTTCCCGACAGAGGACTATAAATAGCGCGTAAAATAGGATAGCTACATTTGCATGCATGTTCATAAAAATATATACTCGAAGTTTTCACTATCGAATTACATTCCTCATCATATATGACGATGTTCGTGGATCATTTTATAAAATATCCGGTACCTCTTACTATACGTTAACATACAACTACCAGAATGCTTTTGGAACATACATACAGATTAATACTGTAACAAATAAATACCGAAAAGATCATGCATGGTAGTTGTAATTAGTTAACCTAATAAGGTGAAATGATTTTTGCCAACAATTTGATTACTTGATTACACGATCGTATTATTTTTCAAACGTTGTTTGCATTAATATTTATGTGCTTTGCGGACATCGCAAAACACTCTGCAATTTAGGTTCCAGGAATATTTACGTGTAGAAAGAGAATGTATACGTTATTTATTTATGTAAATAGTGAAAGTTTCACAAAGTGAATACATTAAACAAACAAAATATTAAGAAGTTTTAGAAAATTTAGAGTTTATATATGAATAGTTCGTATGAATAATTTCATACTAGATATACTGGACCAGGCATTTTGTCCTGACGTTGATTTTAAAATTTTATATAATAGAATACACTACTATAATTATTTATTGTATTTTAAATGGAGAATCATTATTCATTAAATGAACAAATGCGTTTGTACGTATTATATATAGATGATTGTGTGTCAAACTTAAACTGTAGAATTCGTAGACCTGCGTACGCAAGTCTTACTGTCGATGCAATAGAAGTGTTGATAAAATATTGCACCAATATATTCCTTTCCTCAAGTTGATCAATTCATTTGATAGAAAATTGATCAACTTCCTGTTACTTCTACATAAGTCAATTAGATTTCGTTTCAGAACCGATTGACCAATAGGAAACGCACAGGAAGTAAAAATAAATTTGAATTCGTATGAATTGATCAACTTGAGGAAATGAATTGATGCAATATTTTATCAACACTTCTATTGCATCGACAGTAAGGTCCATACACACCGGACACGATTCGACAATGCGACGCAATTTTTCGATTTTCACTGACCGATAACTTTGATCCTACAATCGTCCACAAAATATATTGAGACTTTTTAAATCACTCCCCTCCCCCCTTATTTCAATGTTGAAAGCCTACTGTACTTATCCAAAACGAACATAAGATTACACTAGAACTGCAACCGTGTCACTGGTGGTTGAAATTTAACATATGATGTTGGAATTAAACTACATTGTAGTGCCTAACAACATTGAAATCGGGGGAGGGGGGTTGTCTCAAATATTTTGTGGACGATTGTCTGAAAATTGGGGGAAATCGAGCGCAGGTTTTGGTTATTTATTCCATAATATTTTCTTTGCCAGCGCTTATGTTAATCGACAAACATTTCAATAGTGTATACGAATAAAATTTGCATAAAATTTTACTAAGGACTACTAGAATGCATGCCCATATACATGTATTATATTATGCGATAATTTGTCCAAGTTAAGTTAAGTTAAAATCCATACCTTACTGACATCTAACGTTCCTTCGCAAGCTTGCGCTCGATTCGAAAAAAAATATATCGATAATGAAGAATCAATAACATGCAATCCATCACAAATCAAGATTTTTGTATTTTAACGTACTATGTAAATTCAAGGACAACGCCAACATGTAAACAACCTCGTTTTCAAACTGGAAATTAGTTCAATTAATGTACGTATACGCATGGGCTATCTGTTTTCGCTCCAAATTCAAATTTTAACAACGCGTTACCACACGTTACCACGTGTTACCATACGTGTTACCATTAATATCAAATAGTTATTATTGCTACAATAAAACTTCCGCAATAAAAGTTCATTTCTAACGGTTCAAAAGTACAAGATCGATATGCAAGAAATGATTAACAACACGTTACCACGAGTTGTGCACGCGTTACCATCTTTTTTTTTTAAAAACTACTATATATACTGTATATATTTTAATAAAAACTTGACGGTAACGCGTTGCTTTATTAACAAAATACCATAATGAATAGAATTACATGATGGTAACGTGTATGGTTGTCTGAGATAAAACGTGGAAATGCATTGTTTTAATAATAGAAAAGACAAATAAACAATTAGTCCATGGTAACGCGTATGGTAACGCGTATGGTAACGCATGGTAGCGCGTTGTGATGTGTTGTATATATATTGGTAATAGAAAAGCCATATTATAAAACAATTAGTATGGCAAAGCACATGGTAATGCGTAGTAACACGTTGCTTTAGTAATTTAAATTTCAAAAACCATATTAAATATTACTTTATGCTAACTTGAATAAGTTAAAACTTTGACCCCACCAATAATCAAAAATTAATTAAGAATGCATGCTTATAGTTTCACCAAAATTCAATTATCCATTAACTTGAATAACTAAAGTATTAATAATCCATGTGAAGTTATAGGACTTTCTTTAAGAAATATGCAAGGTTAATTCTCTATGTTAACGGACCGATCGATCCAAGATTGTACTCAACCGCCCCCCCCCCACCCCATCCCACCCCCAGAAGAAGACTTGATATGGTACCATTATAAAACGTAGAGATCTTTGTATGGGCCTCACAATACTATCCAAATTATAGTGAACAGTAAGACGTACGCTTATATCACTTCACAAAAATTCCTTTACTATTTAAACCTACCATTGCGAACTCGCTCCAACCTCCCTGGGAATTATGTTCTCTACCCCCCTTCCTATTGTGCTGCACATAGCAAGATTTCAAATAAGTTCGAGCTGTTGTCACCTAAGTTTTCTTAATTTCTAATATAATCGTCTACCAAATATATATTGATACTTTTTGGATCATTCCCCCATTACTTTTATTTCTCCCCCCCCCCTGGGCGACTTGACGGTACTGTACTATTCTACATATGAACAATAACCCGAATAGTATCATCTATATACAGTGACTACTACACATGCACACAAAGTATTTAAAAAAAACTTCGAGATGCTTTTAGCTAAGTCTTATCAATTTTCGAGACAATCGTTCACAAAATATATTGAGACTTTTTAAATCACTCCCCTCCCCCCTTATTTCAATGTTGAAAGCCTACTGTATTTATCCAAAACGAACATAAGATGACACTAGAACCGCAACCGTGTCACTGGCAGTTGAAATTTAACATATGCATGATGTTGGAATTAAACTACATTGTAGTGCCTAACAACATTGAAATCGGGGGAGGGGTTTGTCTCAAATATTTTGTGGACGATTGTAGTTAAAATTTTCCAAATATTTAGAAGCGCTATAACATTTTGAGTTATTTGGTCTACATATCTTTCAAAATTTCCTCTCATTGGCTATTTTATTAACTTTCAAAAACTAAAAAATCGCGTCGCGTTGTCGAATCGCGTCCGGTGTGTCTGAACCTTAAGTGTTGAACTTCACTGAAGTTCAACACATATATAGACTTGCGTACGCAGGTCGTCTACTTCACAGATACTTCCTCTTGACAAATGACCTTATTCTTTTGCTCAAGTTTGTCCCAAAATTTTCAATGCTCACTGATAAGCTATATGCCAACGAATAGAGAATGCTGTTTAGTTTAGCTATAATGCGGTAACTTACGTAAACGGTTTTTGTCGCTTTAGGTTTATTTATAATTTTTCTTACCATTCATTACAAGTCAATAACATACATGCATTACAATGTAAATTGTAAATTTGGATAGTTCGCTACGTTTTTTAAATAGTATAGCTAAACTAAATGAATACATTTTTTCGAAGTAGCTGGAGCATAGCGAATTACACTACAAAAATTTTATAGCCAACCCATCACTTTACCACAATCACAAGTTTGTCTCTTCAGATTCGGGTACAACATCCTTGGCCAAATTCTCGAATAATTCCAGAGAATCAGAACTTCCATGCGGTCTTTCATCTGCGAAATCTTTTTGAGAATATTTTGCAACAACTGCAGCGGCAAAAGTATCACCCATCACGTTGATAGTCGTTTGTAGTCGATCTCTGAAAAGCATCAATGATGTCAATATAGGTTGTATTTGAGGTATAGCAGAGCAGCTAGGGTAGTGTCTTGTTAAATTACCGATACCGATCATTTTGAATTTTTGCATGTAAGCTAGGCCACATAAAATAAATTCTTTGATTCTCATCACCGCATCACTTAATTAAGAGTCTCATGAAAATTTTTTATATTTCGTTATACAATATAAATGTACCGCCCGGCAAAATATTTCAAGTTCAGTTTTTTATATTTTATAATTTGTTTTTAGTGCCATTTTAAACTGCCAATTTCAAACAAACAGAACCTTGAAAGAAATTTCATTGCATTTTTAAGGAACTTCGCATTCAGTTCAAGGGTTCAGTCATTGTTCGTGAAATAAAGAAGATCAATTTCATTGCCAGAATCAAGAGCACGACCGCGAGATCGTGAAACACATTCAAAACTTGAGTAACACATGACCTATTCCAGCGACAGCCATGTTGAATGTCGTACAAAGAGTCCTTAATGAAAGAAGAAACCTGTCCAAAAATCAAGCGTTCAAGTACTTTTGAGACTTGGGAGAGTAATGAAACAGGTCTGTAGTTTGTGACTTCATGAACGTCACCTTTCTTAGGTATTGGAACCACATTAGCAGATTTCCATTCAGTAGGAAATACACCCTGCTGAAGAGATAACTCGAAGAGAATTGTTAAAGACGGAGCGATGACTTCGGAACAGCGCTTTAAAAGATATGCTGGTATGCCATCAGGTCCAATAGCCTTATAGAGGGTGACAAACTGGATAACAAAGATTGTACTTCAAATTCAGAAACAGTTATTGAGTCAAGAAAGTTTGATGACTGCGAAGTAGAGATTAAAGGTAAAGAAGAATTTGTGTCGGAGGTAAAAAATAAGTATTAAAAGCATCAGGCTTTTCTTCAGAAGAGAATAGTTTAAGACCCCCTATCTTAATTAGATCAGGTATGGAAGATTTTGAAGATTTAGACTTAAAAAATCTCCAAAATGATTTAGAGTTATTGTATAAGGATTGAGAAAGTCCAGATAAGTATTCTCTCTTCTTGGCATTAATCCAACATTTGACATGTTGCCTAGTCTTGCGAAATTTCTCCCACAATTGAGGCGAGTTCTTAGCCTTTGCTTTTCTCCTTAGCGACTCCTTCATGTTGATAGCGTGAAGTAGATCCTTGGTGATATAAGGAGGCGTGAAGGAACGCTTGAGCGATGTTTTCGGGATAAAACTATCGGCAGCAGTAAGGAAAGCAGCTTTCCACTTGGACCAAGCAACATTAATGTCGTCACAGTTATGGTAAACTGAATCCACTAAAGAAGCGCTCTGAAGACAGTTTAGGAGGCCAACAAAATCTCCCTTCGAATAATTATAAACTATTCGCTCGGTGGATTGTTTTGGTCTTTGATGCAATTTTAAGTCAAAAGATATAGCTTTATGGTCCGAGTGTAAGGAGATGGAATCATCTTTATTCGTGGTAAGAACCAGGTCAATGAGATTATGGCCACGAGTAGATGAGTTGATTAATTGCAAGTAACTAAAGTCAGTGATAAGGTCAATAAAACCAATTTCTGATCCTAAGGTAGAAAAACCCGATCTGTCAGACCATTGAATATTGGGATAATTAAAGTCGCCCATTAAAACAACATCTTTAAATTGAGAATCAGCAACAAATTTCAAGAAACGGTTCAGTTCGTGCAGGAAATCAATTGAGGAATCAGGAGGGCGATAACACACAGCGACAATAACTTTTTTAGATAACGAATTAATTACAACAGAAGCAAGTTCCAATGAATGTGAAACAAAGTCAGTTGGTTCAGTTCAGACAGAATCTTTTACTGACAGCTAACAATACACCACCTCCCCGTTTGCCAGTTTGTCGATCACGCCTAAATAACTTGTATCCAACCGGTAAAATGTCATCATTTCGTACATGATTGGACAGCCAAGTCTCTGTCAAAGCAATAACATCAATACTGTTGCCATAAACAACATCTTGTAGACAGGATAACTTATTCAGGACGCAATTAGTGGTAGAGTCACGATAATTTGCCTTTAAAGGGTATGAGCAACAAAAAATTTTATTGCTTCATCTGAAAGAGCATGAAAAAGTAAGCCGATTGGCCGTTTAATTAATGCTCTATTCTATCTCATCTAGTTCCGAAGTTATACGCAAAAATGTGCAAAATATAAGTTGCTGATTCAGCACAACGTGTGACGTTATTAGCTGGGTAAGTATGATTTTTTCTGTGTTGGTGTTGTGTACTCAGGTGAATAATATGATGTTTGTGATGTTACTCTGAGTGTATATCCACACCGGGCGAGCTTGAAAAATATGCCCAGCCACGGTGGGAATCGAACCTACGACCTTTGGAATACTGCCCAATGCTAAAGCCTTTGACTGTTCCTCACAACAAACTTATTGGTAAGCTTGAGCCTTATGGTATATCAGCGCGTAGTTGTTGAAGCAGTTTCCTCTTCTTATCTTTTATTGTCAGAAAAGTTGGCAAATAACTCATTAACTAGTTTCAATAATTTGTCTTGATCGAAACTGAAATGCCATTTGCACTGCATGACTTGATATTCGATTGCCTTTATACTATTTACCGTTTAAGTTCTCTCACGGCTCTGGTTAAATAAATGAGAATTAGTGGCTATTTATTTCATTTTCGATAAATTACGGAACATTACTTATCTTTAACAAGATAGATAAGTCGTGCTTGACTATAACTAACTATAAACAAAACCCGTATTGATAAAACAGTTTTTATTGAGTCTGTCAGAAAGGCAAAACCTGACATAGTATGTAATTTCATCAGGTGTACCACAGGGTAGTGTCATCGGTCCTCTTCTTTTCATCCTATATGTTAATGATCTTCCAGATACAACAAAAAGCAGTACTGTTGCGTTGTTTGCTGATGACAGTAAATGTTATCGTGCCATTCAATCGCAGGCAGATAAAGATCCCTTTCAACATGATGGCAACTCAGATTTAATGTTTCTAAATTTGTCTTACTAAGAATATCTCGCAAACGTGTTCCTTCAAATCATCCTTATCATCTCAACAATGAACCAGTCAAACGTGTGACTTCGCACGTCGAATTAACTGTGAATTAACTGGATGTACATGTAAGTAGTGGTCTTATGTGGCCAACGCAGATCATCACTTGCACTGCTAAGGCAAATCAAATGCTTGGTTTTCTTTGAAGAAATTGCAAGCATATGACAGACATCCATTGCCGACGTTTATTCTATCTTGCTCTGGTTAGATCTCACTTATCTTATATGCTAGTGAGATATGGACTCCGCAAGGTTCTTCGCACGATCTTGCTCTCCTGGAAGGTGTTCGGAGACGGAGCAACTAAATTTATAATTCAAGACTTTGACTTATCTTATTCTGTGCGTCTCAAAACACTCAAATTACTTCCAATCTCTTACTGGCTGGAAGTAAAGGACCTTCTCTTCTTTTTGAAGTGTTTACAAGGTCTTTATGATCTAGATGTCTCTTCTTTTGTCATTATCTCTTCAGACTCTGTCTCTCGCACTCGTACAAACCAACAAAGGTCACTAACTCCTAATCTTTGCAGAACTTCTCTTTTTAGAATCTCGTTTTTCAACAGATTATTTTTCTTTGGAATAGTCTTCCCGCTCATATCACCGACTGTACCTTTATTAATTTCTTCAAAAACAATCTGTATTCTCACCATGACCTTTCCAAACTTGAATCTACCTTTGACGTCAATCGAATACGTACTTGGAAGACTTATTATTCCAAGTGTCGTTCCTACAATCCAACTTGCTGTTCTTAAAAGTTAATTCATGCATTTTTCATGTTAATAGTTAATCAAATATATCCGAGTGTGTTAATGTGTGTTTATGTCCCTAAATATGTTATAACTATTGTTGTCTTTCTTCGGTTAGTCTTAATATGGGATTCTTGTCCCTTCCTATATATGTGTTAAATTTAATTTCTAGCATTTGTTCATGTATACTGAAAGATTGTTAAGTTAATAAATAAATAAATAAATAAATAAATAAATAAATAAATAAATAAATAAATAAATAAATAAATAAATAAATAAATAAATAAATAAATATATTCTTTTCGGATATAGGAAAAATCTAATGATTTTTCAATATCTGACGAAAGGGCATACGACGTCGATTGTTCATACTAATTAATTTACAATTGCAGTATTGACTTACAAAAGCCAGTCCACAGCAAATATTGGTCCAATCTTATCAATAGGAAGTCCAACTGCTTCTAACACGATAACCAAGTTACTGAGTCCTGGACTGGGAATACCTGCCGCACCAATCGATACCACGGTACAGATGAGTCTGAAAGGATTCGATAATGTGCAAATAACTCACGAGTTATGCTCAAAGGATAAGCCAATCCTCATAAGGCGCATGAATAACTGGAGTATATTCACATTGTTTGGTGATGACGTTATGTCTGTGGAAAATATTATTTGGGATTACATTCATTCACACATCTAATATTATACGTGTTTGCTGTGAATAAAATTTCATTTCCTAATAGGTTGTTAAAATGGTGGCAACGAGTACGATAGCAACTAAGTGCATATATACTACGTTTGGTTTCAAACGAAGGTCTTCATCAGTGAATGGGGTGAGGACTGTTTAATGAAGTACTGCACTGCAGATTAATAATTCTCTCAACATCTTGAAAAAAGACTACCTTTTATGATCTTACATCACTAATATTTTCTTTACTTACACAGTCAAAATTTTGTCACCAATTCCCAGTTGAACGTTTGGTTCTATCTGTTCTACAAACAGAACGACGATGGCATAATATACGGCAGCGCCGTCCATGTTACAAGATGCGCCAATTGGTAAAACGAAGCGAGTTACTCGCTTGTCTATTTTTACTTTGGATTCACAGCATTCAATTGTTGTCGGCAACGTTGCAGCACTGAAAATGACCAAGAAAAAAGAGAAGCAATGAATATATAGGAATGAATTATAAGCAAAGTTCTTTCCGTAGTGGAGAGGTGCAATTTATCTTCCTATTTGTCCAAACATTCCATAATACATTTTCGTCTAATAAAGACATAAAATTTTAGTTTTCAAATTTCTATCACAGACAAAAGAGAATGGTTAAAACTGATATTCCTGAGGCACTTTTTGTTTTATATTTAAATTGGCAACAAATTCCCTTGTTCACTTCAAATGAGCACAACGAACCTTATTATTGTGAAGTTTATTTAGAGTCGCGCTGTTCTACATCAGGGCGCACAAAAAATACCAATCTTTATGCTTAACAATTTTCTGAATACTAGTCTTTATATATAGTTATAAATTATTTTAGTATTATTTTATATATTTTATTTAATATTATTTTGTCATTCCAACAAAAATTGGAAGAAATAACGGTACAAGAGAAAAATTTAGTAGAACACACCATTTTTACTGAGCCGTTTAATTATGCAATTTTACTATGTTATTATACAGTCGTTAAACTTTTTCATACTACTGTTGTTGCTAGACAAGAAAACTAGTGAGAGTTAAAAACATTTTGAAATATTCGGTTGTTTCATTTGTCTCATACTATTGAATAATTTCAAAAAAATAATCATATAGTCCATAGAACAATCTTTATATATCTATTGTTGACAGTCCCATCGCTCAAACGGCAATTGATAAAACTAGAATAGTGAAGCAAATAGTGCGAATAATCGACGAATAGTACGAATAGTCCGTGAATAGTCGACGAATAGTACGAATAGTCCGCGAATAGTCGACGAATAGTACGAATACTCCGCGAATAATCGACGAATAGTCCCCGAATAGGCGACGAATAGTACGAATAGTCGACAAATAGTGCAATAGAGACTTGTGCTGTAGAAATAAATTTACCGGGGGGGGGGAGGCTCTATTGACAAACATGAAATCGTGAAAACATTCGTTGACGTACGTCAATGACGTCATACGTAACCAATACTAGGGAGATGCTAAGCATCATGGGGCGAGCCTGAGCCAGAGCATTGAGAGCAATGATAGCCAGCAACTATCATGCAACAATGATTACTAATGTCAACCTTTCTTGTTTCCGCACTTTAATTAATTAAACTATCATTGGCATTGCAATGTAGTGTCGAAATTTCAAAGGCAAAACTCGTAGTATTATAAATGTTGGGAATTGTAGGATATCTAGCCGTGTATTATATTTGATATTTTGTTCAAAGGCAAAACTCGTAGTATTAATGTTGGGAATTGTATTTCTACCATGTATAAGCCCTGTTCTAAACGTCGCATTTTACATGTGCAGCGGATGTGCCGAATGCATTCAAAACAATAGATAATCAGCTGAAATGTCTCATTATCCATTGTTTTGAATGCATTCGGCGCATGTAAAATGCGACGCTTAGAACAGGCTTTATATTTGATATTTTGTTAAAGCATTAAACACGTTATTGAAATCACAATCTTTCATGCATGAAATATATAATAATATAGAAATGGTTGAATGCATGGTTTTTGGCAAGCGCGCTAAAAATAGCAGATGCATACATGCACTGCATGTAAACAAAACATTTAATATGTACAGAGCCAGATTGCAAAAACTTGCAAATAAGGTATTTTTCATAGTCTTAGAGAAAAATAACAGAATTACAGAATATTCAGCCCAAATCAAATCGAAATCGGGCTTTGCATCAGAATTTGATCCGCAACTCACTCAGAAATGAAGTAAAAGTAAAATTGCGATGGGCATATAAAATCCCTAAATAATACTGAATGTGAACAAAACATTTAATACATACTGTACAGAGCCGGATTGCAAAAACGTGCAAATAATGTCTTTTTTTCATAGTCCCAGAGAAGAATAACAGAATTACAGAATATTCAATCCAAATTAAATCGAAATCTGGCTTTGCATCAGAATTTGATCCGCAACTCACTCAGAAATCGAGTAAAGTAAAATTGCGATGAAATGTACTGCATGTATTAACAAAACATTTAATGCATCATACAGAGAGCCGGATTGCAAAAACTTGCAAATAAGGTCTTTTTTTAGAGAAGAATAACAGAATTACAGAATATTCAGCCCAAATGACAAATCAAATCGGGCTTTGTATCAGAATTTGAACCGCAGCTCACTCGAGTAAAGTAAAATTGCGATGGGCTTAATAATACTGACCACTGTAAATAATACTGACCATTGCAATTTCCATTTGTTATTTGGCATGAAGAATATATTTCATCGCATGTCGCATGAAAAATTGTCAGCCGGTGAGAAGCGATACTGTAAATCACTGTATAAAGACTGAAAGTTCTCAAAATAGCTGGTGCGAGGCGAAAAGCCGGTAGGATTAAATCACTGTAGGAAAAGTTCCGTGTATGTACGTACGTACGTACGTACGTACAACGAACGAACGAACGAACGAACGCACCATAATGCATTGCGCTTGAGCTCGATGAGCCACCAAACTGTTGGGCTCGCTCATGCTCGCCCCAATAAAACAACGGTAACTTCGAAAATAAACATTTTAATATTCTAGCTTTCGACTAAAATTCAGTCATCGTCAGGAAACATATTTCATATTTTTTAAATTAAAAATCATTCTTGATGGTAAGTGGTCATGAATTTTACTGATGGAATTTTATAGGAATTTTACTTGTAAGTTGTGACGTTGTAACCGAAGATTTAAGGGCTTAAGTGATTTCATGTGCTTGGAAAACGTGATTTACATGACGAAACAAGAGAAGGTATCGATTCATTATTTAAGCCCGTTTTTGGGCGAATTTGTTCGTGTGAAGCGAAAACCAAATTTCGGTAATGTGATTGGTCAGCGAAAAAATTCGCCGCGAAAAAGTTGGATCAGTTCCTACTCTTTTACTTGTCGCTTCGCGCGAACAAATTCGCCCAGTGGAAAAAGTCATTCTTGTGATTGTCATTCTACTTCCTGTTAAAAATTTGTTAAAACTCAGTGGTTCCCGTAATCTTTAGCGATTACGTATGACGTCATTGACGTCAACGAATGTTTTCACGATTTCATGTTTGTCAATAGAGCCCACCCCCCTCCGCCCCGCTTCGGTAAATTTAGTTCTACAGCACGGTGCAAAGCCTTGCAAAGTCTCTATTGCACTATTCGCCGACTATTCGTACTATTCGTCGACTATTCGCGGACTATTCGTACTATTCGTCGACTATTCGCGGACAATTCGTACTATTCGTCGACTATTCGCGGACTATTCGCACTATTCGTCGACTATTCGCGGACTATTCCTACTATTCGTCGACTATTCGCACTATTCGCACTATTCTAGTTTTATCAATTGCCTCGCTCAAACTTCAAAAGTAGCCTACCGTCAAAAGGTTTGAATGTGATTAGTATAGGTAATAGCATGGTTTCGAGTGCAATTTGGATATAACATGCACGAGTGAGTTTTTCAAAGACCTCAAAATAGCACGAGTCCGAAGGACGAGTGCTATTTGAGGTCTTTGAAAAACTCACGAGTGCATGTTTATCCAAATTTCGCGAGAAACCATGCTATTACTTATTAATAATTTACATAAAAATGTTCGAGACAATTGTAGTTTTAATTTACGCGTTTATAGCGAACATTCCACTGGCAAAGTTTTCCT